TCTTTTTCCGACCCTCTTCTCATTCATCGTTTGACCGGTCCTGTTTCACGTCGATTATATTCATCTCGCGAACGGGTGGTTCCCTTCAAGAATATGTATGAGAGAATCATTCTTATTCTAAAATTTGACGTACGGACAAGGACTACCATCGCTCAGAACTCCTCCAATTCTTTTTGCGACGCATCCGCCGAGACAATTATCGGTAGACTCGGGTTGAAGTGCATTAAGGAGAGCTCTGATGTCAGGATGCTTTTGGCTCTCAGGAATGTTTTCTCACACTCAGGCGTCCAGGTGAATTTCACATCCTTCTTCAGAAGATCGACTGAAGGGAACTTCAATTCTTTCATCTCCGGTATGAAAGCTGCGTAGAAAGTCAGCATTCCAAGGAATGACCGAAGCTCCGCCAAATCTTTCGGTGCTGGCATTTCTACGATGGGGCGGATTCAAGCTGGGTCCGGTCTCCTCCCACGCTCGCTGATAATGACACCCAGATATTTGACCTGTGTTTGGAGAAAGCTACATTTTTCGAGGCGGACCCGGAAACCGAATTGCTGAAGTCTCCCCATCACTGTCATCACTCTCCGATGGTGTTGCTCCTTGGGTCCTTGGAGTCTCCCGAAACGACGATGTCGTCAAGATAAGCCATGACTCCATCAAGGCCAGCGATGAGTTCGTCCATGATCCTGATGATGATGATTGAGTGCGCTGAAGATATCCTCAGCCGTCGGCAGAGGATAGCGGTCGTCCTCAATGGCGTTGTTCCGACCGGTGGAGTAATCACCGCATAACCGAATCGTGCCGTTCGGGTTCGTCACGACCACGATTGGGGCGGCGAAATTGGAATGATGTGAGTGCTCAATGACACCCGCTTTTTCAAGGCGCTCCAGTTCTATAAAGACTGCCGGAAGAGCTGCGTAGGCGACCGGCCTAGCCTTTCTGAAGACGGGTTCGAATTCGGTTTGAGTTGGACCGAGGCTTGGAACTTGGTGCATTTTCCAGGCCCTTCAGCGAATACGTCGGGAAACTTCCGTTCGAGTTCCGAGGCAAAGTATTCCTACTCCTGAGTATTTTTCCTAGCTTGAGCAATCTTCTGCGAGATCCTCGGCGAGTCTTCCAGCAAGCTCTTGTAAAAGCTTTGATCATGCCTGATCCAGTCGAGTCCTAAGAAACTGCATGTTTTAGAAACACAGCACCTCCCACAGAAACGGGGGCCGTTCAGCTCAACGTCACAGTCGAAGCTGCCTAAGACACGCAGAGGTGGCCCGTCGGCCTGTGTGAGTTCTACGTCTTTTTCTCGTACTTTCGGCGCCCCGAGAAATTTCCAAGTTTTTTCGGATATCAACGTCACATCCGCGCCGTTGTCGAGAACCAGCGAGATCCGAGAGCCATTGATCTTCACGGACCTAGTGATTCTGTTGCTCTCGAGCGTTGAGATTCGCAGGTGATGCACATCTGCCTTCGCTTTAGCATTCTGGCACATGGATGCTTTATGACCGATTTTAGAGCAGATATTACATTTAATTTTCGCGAAAGGACAGTCACGTCTCCAATGTTTTCCACCACATCGAGAACAGGGAGTTTTCGGAAGCGCTCCCCGTTGCTGTTGAGGTTGAGGCAACTTCTTCCGAAACAAGTGGCTGACTGTCGGTCGGACGTCTGAACTGCTGGTGGCGTCGCGTTTGAGATGTGTGTAAGTCAGTAGCTCTTTGGCGAGGGATTTTAATGTAGTGGATTCCTCGTCCAATTTTCGCAGAGCTCGCGTCCGAAGGTCCAAGTCCTCCGGCGCACTCCAAGTGTTGACCAGCACTAGGCATTTCAGATTTTCGGGAGTGAGCTTCTCGAGTTCCGCAGCTTCTCCTCAGTATTGATAATGCCGACAAGATCTGTGATCTCCTTCCCGTCCCTTTTCGTCAGAAGGAACTTGAAGCGCCATCTGAACAGCGACGCCGGTTGGCCGAAGAGATTTTGAGTGTCTCGACGATACCGTCGAGAGATTCATCTTCTGGCTTACTCGGGGGTATGTAAGCCTTGGAGATGATGAAATTTTTTTCATCACCTCCGTTAGGGGAACCCCGTCTGTGACCAGGACAGGTTTGTAACTATTGATCCATTTCTCGAAGATTGGATCAGCTTCTGGATCATAGTTGAAATCCGGAATGCGACTGTTCAGAGAGTCAGTTACTTTCTGAGTCGCTCCAGCTGTCGAACTCATCAAGTCCGTGATAATAACCTTTTACGAGCTCGACTTCTGGAGAAGCGCAGCCTTCACGGCTTCCTGGACGATCAGGCTCAAGTCTCCAACCTCAAGAGGCATTTTGAAGTTTTGCCGTGGGTTTCTGCACTTTCTGGTGATTGTAGGCACTCACAGTTAGTGTTCCACCAAAAAAAAACTTATCCTCGTCACCACTGTAGTAACTCACGATTCCCCTGGGAGTGGAGGAGACTGAAAACACCTTTATGCATCTCCATGGCCAAGTAGCCACTGACTCTCTTTATTGACGGACTCAACATCGTCGCTTTCGGCGACGGGTAAAAGGCGTTAGCGGCGGTGTCGCGCGCTTCCCGATCACCCTAACAATTTTTTTGAGGTAGAAGGACTATTCGCATCGGAGAACTGACCCCCCTATAACCACGGCTGGATCCCCCTGAACAGGCTCCTTTCACGACGATCGGTTCAGCCGTTTTCGAGTCTATAGGGTACCTGGGACGTACAAACAGACAGACAGAAAAACAGACATACATTTTTATATAGATAGATAGATAGATAGATAGATCACGGCTAGAAGTTAACATCGAGCCAAATCGAGAAGCATAGAAAGGATTTCCAACTACGCGAAATGTTTATAATCGGCGGTAATCAAGACTAGTAAAACGATAAAAAGAAAAGAAGTCGAAGAAGAGTAGGTTTAGGTTTAAAGAGTGCGAGTCTCACACTACCCGGATTGATTACTGAGTGTGCATAAGGCATCTTTCTGCTCTATGAAAACCAAAAAATAAAAAATAAACCATGATTATAGATACTGACTTTAAACCATAATAAAATGCCTACCTAGTCGTTGAAATTGTTCGAGAATCTATTTTTTTCAAGCGTTTCCCTACGTCATACTCTCAAAAGAGTCTTGACTCATTTGGACTCCGTGCTTTTTTCATTGATCGGTCATTTCTACGTAGAACTTTTAACTTAGAATATTCACAAGTGTCACCTGTGAACATTCTAAGTTAAAAGTTGATTACGGTCACTTTTAAGTTGTAATGTTCATGTTCTGTTGATGAATACGAAGATAATCAGAGAATCTAACTTTTTCAGGCTGACCCACACAGCCAAGGTTTAACGTCCCGGGTTCTGCTATTTACATTGCTTCCGAGGACGGATCCATAGAGCAAATGTACCCAGGAGGATCAAGGCCGAGTACCTGCATATTTTTCCGGCAGCAGGGATCGAACCCACACCGCCTCCCGCGCGAGCGGCGTCGTTGCGGCTATGCACGTTTGCACGAGTAGTGACAAACGCGCTAACCACTCGACCACCCGTCGGTATAATCAGAGAATCTATTTTGTTCTAGCGAAATCCTACGCCATTCTCTCAAATGAGTCTCGATTCATTCGGACTCCCTGCTTTTTTCACTGGTCGGTCATTTTTACTTAGAACTAAGTAAAAAGTTTCCTGAGTAGAAAGTCGACTACGGTCACTCTTTTAACTTATAATATTCACAAGGTGAGTTCGATGAATACGAGTATCCACAGAGCGCCTTATATGACACCACGAAACCGGAAGGATTGAGGAGCCCGCTAGATGATTCGCTCATGGTCGACTCCCCATGGACTGCTGTTGCTCTTGTTTATGGTGGAGCTGTTTTCGGTGCTGCTGCTGTTGTCGCTGTTGCCGCGATCTGCGACTCCGTAGGGAGGGTACCTGGTGGTAGAGGCTCTCGAGGATAACTATCTAGAGGACGAGCTCGGCCGATGGCCGATGCGTGGCCCTAACTTCGTAATTCCTCGCTCCAACCCGTGTGAGAAAGATGCTCGACTCGGGCTGGTCAATGAGTCAGCGCTCCGAGACCGTAATTGCAAAGCGCAATGATCTTCGGAAATCGAGTCGTCGACCGAGAGCAGCAGAGATCCTTCTGAACATCACGGGCAGGAGCCCGCTCCTGCCAGAGATCACGCTTCGATTGTCTAACGGTTCTGCTGAAATTGATCGAGGATCTGCCGAGAGTGATAGAAGCTCTGGAGTGAGGGGACTGTCTCATCGGAGGGGACTTCATTCGCACCGGAGGATGCATCGGTTGCTCAGGGCCCGTCGTTATGGTCTTGGTTCAATTGCAGGGTCGGGGAACAGCATCCTGCGGGGCGCTTCTCCCGACGCTGTACATATTTTTATGCCTGAGGAGCCATGACCGGTGATTGCGAGATGAAGCGACGAATTTTCTCGCTTTAAAACTCTTCAGCCGAGAGAGAGCACGAAATTTCACCAGTACTCTGAACTCCATACCCATGACGGGCTCGGGAGCGGGCTTCGCGACTTGCGGTTTTTCTTCAACATGGCAGTCTATGGGAAAGAGCAAATAACCGCGGTTTTTCATGGCACTTGCGGTGTTTCGCGAAGCCTACTCGGGAGTTGACCCGATCGCGCGGGAATCCCCGGATCGCCTGTAACAGCTGCTGAAACTCATCCTCTCTATCCCTCTCACTCTCTCTCCGGAATCGCATGACTCCGGATTTCAGCTGCCACGGGGAGGCCTTTACGCTGCATTCGGAACTCACTCGCCCATTTCGTAACCAACATCAACAACAAAACAAAGAAGATCCTTGGGCGAGCTTTCCCTCGAGTCGCTCCGAAAACCGTACGAGTTCATCGAAGAGCATCCGTGACGCTCAGAGCAAGCCCCTGGGTCGGCGGCAGCTAACAATAAAGATATCTGTGCTCCTCTTCTTGCGCCCTCTGCGCAAAATCCGCCATTGAAGTTGTTTACATCTGTCCGTGGTTCAGTGTCTGTGATGGTGAGATGACACAAGAGACTGATGGAATCATATGTTTCGGCATCTCCAAGCGAGTATCACCCTGTCTAGGTTGACGGAGATGGAGAGGCAAATAGTTTGGCTTCGAAAGTTGGGAGCCTGACTCCCCGAACGGCTCAAAATCGCTTCAGTTCTTCTACAATAGAATGTGAGTGCGAAAGTATTTAGGAAAGTACCGGAAATTGAGCTGACGCTCTGATGGGAGGCGATCTCATAGAGAGCCTACTAACGAGGAGAAGTTTTCCAACCATTCTTGTCGGGTCGGCCGTGGCAAGCAGCCTCGATCGATGCGAATCGAGCAATCCATGAAGCCAGTCGGAGAGGGAGAATCTCGAGTTCTCTTCCTTGTCGTGAAGCTTCTCATATGCGGCTCTGAGACGAAATCGCGCAAGACTCCTGTGGAGGTATCGAGACGCAATTGGCTCAAGTGTCAAAGGATCACTCCCCCAACCCAGTGCTCGTAAAGTCTCTGTCTCGGTTCGAGAACATGAGACGAAGAGGCCATATTGGAGAGGTGTTTCGGGATCCTTTAGTGTTTAGTTCTCTGCCTCCGTAGCATCTTTCTTCCTCTCGACAGTCTCGGGAGGCTATCTTCTTGAGAAAGGTCGAGACTACGCGAACTCCAACTCAGCGGGCGACAGGGAAGTTGAAAGCTCCAAGGAAGCTCGATCGTCGACGGCAATCGGAGTCTACGACGAGAGTGGAATTTCCCCGCGCAGCCCCTAGTCAAAATCGAATCTCTCCATTGACAGGAAGCAAATGAACAAGGGGGATGGCTACTAACTCGAACACGGGACGACAGTGGTCGCCCGGGCCGTCATCCAGCACGGCGAGACCGTCGACGTCTTCGACGCCCCGTCGAAGGCGAGGCACTCCTCCGCTCGCAAGGTCGCCAGTGAATAACAGGTGAGCGTCATTGCCGAAAAGATCGAGTCCTGCTTGATCAGAGCCGAGAAACGAGTTCGGCGCATCGAGATATAGCGCTCTTATGTGCTGTTTACTTCCATGTACCGTCGCGACTCCAGAGGGACAAACTCATCACCGAAAGGGCCACCACCGGCGGAGAGGTATGTTCTTCGAGCTCTAGGTTCGCCAGGCTCAGAGCAGAGTTGAGCAGTTCTATGGGATCCATCGACGAGTCCTTCCTAGATGATTGCTCTTCACTGACGGCGAGACTGATTCCAGGTCCAGACCCAGTTCGACTTCGTCGAGTTGCTCCGAAGACCAAGATAATACCTGTGCAATATGCCTCAGCAAACCGTCAAACAAATGTTTCACCGACGCCTGCTATCACCGCTTCTGCTTCTCATGCCTTGTGGAATGGAGCAAGGTACGTCGGAGACCCGCCAATCCAAGGCAAATACTGCTTGCCTTGGGTCGTTCCGGTCCACTCCGGGTTCCGCCACGGGTCGTCCGTCGGTTGAGCGTCTTGCACGCTCCTCGAAATGAAAGAAGACTTCTGGAAAATTTTAGGTGAAACCGACATGTCCGCTGTGCCAAAAACCTTTCCGGACAATAGTGCACAACATCAGGGAAAACTACGAGTTCGAGCAGTACCACATTTTCCAGCCGCATGCTCGTCTGGTGAGTCGAAATCACATCACTGAGAACGGGAACGAAATGTCGGAAGTAGAAGTGATTGATTCCGACGAGTGATTCGGATGTTATTCGTCGATGACGTGATCTCTCCAAACAGGTCCCGGCTTCGCAATCTTCGACCGATCGGATACGGATATACGAGTCCTATTACTATGCGAGGGTGAACGGAATGACCCGATACCGTGATATTAGTCCAGAGTTTTTCATGGATAATCCAGCGCAGACACACCGATTGATTCCCTGGCTGAACAGAGAACTCTTGGCGCTTCTGCCGTCCACTCACAATCTTCAGTTGGTGATGGAACTCATTCTTATGATGATCTGTCGAGTCGACATCCGAGGTGCAGAAATGCGTCAGGTAAATTTTCGGAGCCCGAATTCTCTTCTAATCCTCCTCATTGATCCAACAGAATAGTCATGTAGCCTCATAGACCTGTTTGCCAGCGTCTTTCAACGAAAAATAAAATGAGCGAGCGTCTTCACTGACGAAGGAGAAACTAATGGAAGCCCTCCGTTTCCAGTTCTTGGATCTCTACCTGAGGCCTTATACAGCACATTTCCAGCACGAATTCTTCTGTTTCGCGTCGTCACCGCATGATATGCCGGTTTTCGACAGGTTGGCTTAACGTGCACATTTTTTCCGTAATTAATAGTGGCCGTTGATCATGAACAGTCTTCAGGAAGATCTTATACTTCGCAGATCGGTGCAATACGAGTACAGACCTCCTATGTCATACCAAGAAGCGGTCGAGAGATTGAGAAGAGCTTTCGAACGGGAGACCATGAGGACCGTCGAGGTGATAAGTGCTCCGTTGAGGTCGCAGGGTCCCGAATTCTCTGCATTCAGACCCTGGTCCCATGAGCCCGGACCAAGTGGACAGCAAAACACCGTGAGGATCCTCCACCGTCTAGAATCCTGGGGCAACTGATTTATACGATTCATGATTTGATCGCTTCGCTAGGCTGGATGGAAACTTCTCTTTCTCATTACAGAACTCTCCTCAGCCGTCAACCTCCGGTGCTCAGTTTTCTGCCTCCCAAATGCCGGGACCCTCGAATCCCGGTCCGTCCAATCCAAGCACTTCGAACCCAATATCCTCAAGCAGGACAACTTTCATTATTGACTCCTCGTCCGACGAGGACGACTGCCAAATTGTTAAGGTTCGCAAACAATGATTATGGGAACCAGAGCTGAGAGTCGATAGAAGAGTCTTGGTCAGCGTTCTTGGTAGACCGAACGCTCGAATGACCAACTATTCATGAAGAATCGTACGATGCAGGTTATCCGGCCGACTCGAGAACGAACGCCCGTCCTCATCGACCTCTGTGATTCAGCTTCCGAGCAGGACACCATCCCGGCGCAGACCCCGCCGCATGTTCGAGAGGGCGACGTGCAGGATGATCCGCCGCACACTTCATCAAATCGGCCCAGAAGCTTGATAGGTGAGATACATTTTTGGACTACCTGAGACTGACTACCGGAGACTGATCACTGATCAGTTTCGGGAGATGCAGAAATTATCAGTGATCCGGGTGATCCAATCTCATCAATTTGTGGCCTATCTGTGAGGTGACCGGGATGTTTCGTAAACGCGCTTGTCAACTTTCCAGGGGCATATTATCCCGGCCCATCTCAACAGACATCTTTCGAGACGGACGAATCCACAGAGGAAGAAGCTCAAAATGAAACGACCAAGCGACCCAGACGGAAGAACAGGTTGACGAAAAAAGAAAGGGACAAGCACGCGAAACGATCCAGGAAGTAACTCAACGCTCAAACTCAACTTATGCATGGCAGTCCTCTGCCGCTACGGCTCGGAAAAAAGTCGTGCGACGAGCTGGCTCCAAGGAGTGGGGGAATTCACCATCCGACACTAGGTTGTTCGTCTGCGATAGCGTCGAACCATGTGTCCGTCTTATAACGTGGTTTCTGATGAAAAGCGCGTCGTAGCTCGTGGAAGGAAGGTAGAAGCATGGTTCAGCGGAGAATAACTCGATGCGTCCTTAAGACAAGTTCAAGTTTCTACAAACCAATGGTGCTTAAGTTCAGGTCACGGGAACTCACGGTCGGTCGCAATTAGAGTTCCTCAGAGGATCGAATGTTCCCCTGGCTCGTTGTTGTCCCGGGGTACGTCTTTTCTTCTCAATACTTCTAGAGAATCGTTACGTTGAAGCAGATATCGTATCCGGACTGAAAAATCGATCCGAACCTCGGAGTTTGAACGATTTCCGAGTCCCTTCGAATGTATTTCAATTCATTCATTATTGTTTTTCAAAATATGGGAGCTCCTGATCCACTGGAGCTAATAGGCGTGATACGCCGACTTTCGGCTGCCGAAGCATTAGTACGTAGTTTTCTGTTCGTATTCCCGACGCTCTGATTGATGATCGATCGCCGTAAGGGAATTCCGGGCTGCACTTTCTGGTCTTGCTCATGTAGGTAATTTCGTTCGAATGTGACGCATGATGCATAGTTGATCCGAGTTCTTCCTATTCTCGTTGAAAAATAGGATAATAATGTTTTTTCCGATAGATCTGAGGGAGAAGCACCTGTCTAAGGTAAAATCCTATACCCTGGTTCCCCGAGAAAAGGCTCCGGGATCTTTTTCTCGCTAATGAAAGGGGAAAGTTCATTTATCAATCCATCTCTCTCGACTTATCCAAATTCGGGAGTCTCGGTCGTCACCGAACTGAATGGTACTCGAATGACGGCTCCTAGATGAGTGCAGAGAGGCCGATCGGCCTGTCCTCAATCCGTCCCCTTCACCGCCATCTTATCGAGTCGCCTGTTCCCATGATTAGCGGCGGATGTCCGAAGTCCTGCTTTGATGTCGCTTCCGCCCCGCACCGACTGCATTCCTCAGTTTTTGGCGAGAACTCTCATGTTCTCGATATTGATCTTGGAAGGAATTCGGAGGTCTCCGAGGGACCCTATCGGTATGGGCATTAGCTCGGTGCTCGTGCGGTTCGACCAAGCAATGATCGCAATGATCCTACATTGACTTTTTCTGTTATCTCTGGCAAAGTGCGGTTGCCATTTGTAAATACATGATCGTACGGTGTATCTGAGACCCTGTATCTTGTGTACGTTTATTTAGAGGCGATAGTTTTCCGATAATTTAAGTGCAGCAATCACGTGGTCGACCCGTCGATTGATCGACCGAGGAGTTGACTGGCGGAGCCACTCAGCCGACCAGTTGGTTTTTTGAAACTTTTAATAAAGTCCCAATTCTTTTCATCGTCGTATGCGTTCTTCAGGATACGGGATCGATCCCGGAAGATTTTTGGATACCCCCAAACCATTTCAGAAGGACTTTGCAGCAATGCGGGGAAGATCGAAAGATCATATCATTGGTTCGGTCGAGCGCCTTTGAGCTCAGTTTATTCATCATTCATTGTTTTTTAATCCATTCTTGGCGACGTCGTGTGCTTTAAATTACTCTCAACAATCAGAAACTTTATCCTCCTCTCGCGTCCGCATGTATCCGTCTTGATCTATCTAGAGGGCGATTCAGTCGAATAACCCGTTGGTTTTCGGAATGGAACCAGAACGGAGAGCTCTAAATCTTCGACATGGAATATTTCTACATGATGACGCAGCGCTCGAAGGGAATCTATTAAGAAGAAGATTTCATGATCTGAAGCCTTCTTACTCGAAACGTCGGTTCAGCGACGCTGTACAAGATTCGCAAGGAACGAAAATGTAGCGTTTGGCAGGGACCAGAACTCGGTTTTCGTCTCGTGATCAGTGTTTCGTCCATTTTCTTCCACTTTCCGAGGATCGTTCGATCTTCTCTGGCGACGGAATGACCTTTCACTCAGTTTGCCGCAGGCGCCAATTTATCCAGGACTTTAACGCCATGTTCCAAATACTCCTCGCGCGATATCCACCAGTCGGCTTTGTCCTTTGCGACGTTCGCAAGCACCGACCCGCCGAGGAAAACCATGTCCTTCCGACCCGGTGGGTCTTCGACGCGGATCTTGAACTTCTTCAATTTCTCTGCATCACCTAGAAGCCGGGAAGGAGGCGAAATCAAGGAATGATCCGACCGCCTCCGATTCGTGACTGTTTGTTATCTTCTCAGCTTGATCGAGATCTCTTTGCACGACGAGTCCTCACCTTTCAAGACCCTCTCGAGATAAAGTTGCTTGATTTCTCTCACAAGTCTCGATGGTAATCCTGGGTACATGGTGGATCCACCAGAGAGTACGATATGCTTGTACAATTCAGACCGCAGATCTATTTCTGCGCTTTGAATTGTGTTGAATACAAGCTCGGCCATGCCATGGCCCTCTACGTTGATCAAATGTGGTTGGAATAATGCTTCTGGCGCTTCGAAACGTTCGTTTCCCATTTTTATAATGCGACCATCTGCGAAGGGATGAAGAGCTCCTATCATTATTTGCCCGAGCGAGCATCATTCATATTGATGATTCGAAAACCGTTAACTCACCGGGAAGAGTGTAAGGCTCTACCAAGAAGGTCGTTTCTAGACCGAGTTTCTGCTCTTGTTCGACATTGTAAGCGACGTAGCAAAGCTTCTCTTTCATCATTCGGACCGTCTCAAAATCCGCTGACTGATTGAACACGTACCCTGAAATCAGCCGTTTGAAGAGTGACTCGGTCGATTCCCCACAGATTTGGACGACATATAGATTTCGTGGTTTTCTCGTCTCTTCCTCATCCTGCACGAAAGCTCAAAGGCTGGGAATCAACACTCACCACGCAATAGGAGAAGTTTGATCAAATAACGAGTGATGTCTCGCCCAGCGATATCCAAGCGACGAGCCAAATGAGGCAGTGCGAACCCATGGTAGACTGGGCAGACGTGTGTGACGCCGTCACCGGAGTCGACCACAACCCCTAGAAAATGCAGCGCGTCTCTGAGCCAAGCGAAATCGCCCGAAAAATGTGTATGATTGAGAGAAGTACTTTAGGTTGAGGAGGTATGCTCAATCGAAATGACTCAGTATGGTTCTCGAAAAAAATCCCAAACTTAGACAATCGCACCTGTGTACAGTCCTTGAGCATATAAGGTGAGCACGGCTTGGATAGCGATATAGGCTCCATCAAATTCGTATCGTTCGAACATGACTTCGAGCATCTTCTCGCGATTTCTCAAAGGGTTCATCGGTGGTTCGGTCAGAAGAATTTTGCAGCCTTTCGTTTCTAGATTCATCTTCTGCGGCCCGAATGTGTAGTCCCATACGTGCAGCATGTCATCCCAATTGCGGACCTGAAAATCATGAATACTCGATGATTTCACGGGTTCATACGCGAGACGAGGCCAATCATAGCCCCATCAGAATATACGGCATCAATGATTCTCTTTTATTTCCAGCTTGTTTTCCGGTGATGAGAATTAAATGCAAACCGTGCCTGGTACTCACCATCCCGTTCTCCATAGGGTAATTCACTTCCAGCATGGAGCGAAGCTTTGAAGCCTCGTCTCCAACCATGAGATCTTTGACCTGAAATAGAATTCAGCCATCAGGTCAGCATGTATGATCTGACTCAGCTCCCGGCAATGCTTGGATAGCTCGGCACAATTGAGAAAACTTCATCTCGACAAGCGATGCATGTCTCAAGTCTCAAGCCGCGACGAGTGGTCGAACAGAGATTCGCGTTGCTGCTGAAAATCGAGAGCTACCATTGATTCGGAAACGGGATGAATCATCCGGGCTCCTCCGAACCGACGAATAATGCCCCATGCTACTCCGCCGAGAGCTCGAGGCCCACGTGAATGTGACACCTCGATCCCAGCTGGCAGAGCCGCCTCTTCCGATGAGCATCTGGTTCCGAGGATCGTTCGATAGAGGGCACTATTATTGTACGGGCACTTAGCTCGGAGTGATTTTTGAATTGTTAACTTATGACTCAATGCCCTTTTTTGGGAATGACGGTGTTGCTCATGAGGATGTCCAGAGTGCCGAATCCACCTCGTATGCCTCAGAACGACTATGCTCCGCTTGTCAGGAAATTCTCTGATCATTGGTGGAGATCACCGTAGTCTGTGGGAACGAGCTCGGCTCTCAAGTTGAGGGGACGATCGCTCGTCTCAAAGCTCAAGTGGTTCTTCTCTGCATCTGACTGCGGAGCACATTTATAGTGGCTGGCGGGACAGGACGCCTCATTTTCCTTCCCCACGGAAAGTCAACGGATCTCGCTATTCCTGGGCTTACCTCCATTTCTCCGACTCTGCTCGAAGCTCTGAGGATCGGTCTCCCAACGAGACTAGGAAAGGTAAACGCTGGGAAATTCGAGCCGGCATATCCACACTTGACGAAACCAGTTCCATTGTCACAAACTATAACTTTTCTGCCTTGTGAGTCCATTTCGAATGGGAGGAACACCGCTCGCTAGTTGGCCTGCCACCGAACGCGCCGTCACCTCGGTCTTTATATGGCGAAATTACTCAAGCAAAGAGCCGTTCAATCCGATTCCAGCACAACTACGACGACCACCAACACACACCCCTGTCAGATTAAGTCGCCGGTGAATGCAGATGACGGCTCCGAGGAACGAGACCCCATCAGGAGGTCTTTAGCGGCTCCGGAACTCCGGACCCACGATCGCTGCCACGGCACGGAATCTCTACGAGGGAGACAACGCTTGCCGGGCTCGATGAAACACATTTTGCTTATGAATATCGAGCAAACATGGGTGGATGGACCGCCCGCGCCCTCGGGTCTCTCGCTTGTCAGCCGATACCAAGACTGGGAACCAACGACACCAGACAAGAGTCGATGATCTCCGCCCTGGAGGAAGCCGCGGAATCTTCAGGCAACCAAGGCGACAGGGATATTTCTGCAAAGACGAAACTCCTGCCGACGCTTGGGATTCACAGCCCATTCCTTTCCGTTCGTACCTAGAAGCGGTCATGGGAGAGGTGGCTCTCGCGCGGACTGACTCCGTCATGAGCTGAAGATAAGACGTCAAGGAATGAGTTGATTCTTCAGCCTCGAACTTAGTACTGCAATCGTCGCGGTCAATAGCCGACGAGAACCTCTTCGATGGATGATTTAATACCTGTTCCGGACTCGGAACATCACAGCACCGGTGTGGGTACCTAGATATGATCGAGCTTCCGCTCCTCTTGTCCTCTGTTTTCGGTCGCTCCAAGTTTCCGTCGAACTACGGATCAAACAAGTTTATTCTTCAGTTCTTTCACATTAAAGTAGAGTGTAGGATCTATGGACAGCGTTTAAGATGCGGAACTTTGGTGCTTTCCCGGATCAACTCCGAGTTCATCTATCGCTGGGAGAAAAGTCTCGGTACTCAAGCAGCTACTCCCGAGAATGTCACAATTATCATTTCGGTATCATGGTGAATATAAGCAGCATGGAGAAATAATGCGTTTGCGAATTTTCTCATCGTTTCGCGTCGATTGCGGATAGCGATGTCGTCATGCGTAGGATGAGCCTGCATTCTTCATCTAGTTGTCGCGCAGCCCGAGAACAATCAATGGTCGAAGTGAGTCGGGTCTTCGTGTTGAATACATGAATTTTGTCGGCTGTCAAGAGATATATCGATTCCTTGCAATGCTTGAAAGAGTGAGGAAAAATTATTTTTTCCGGTAGTTCAATCCTCCAGGTTTCTGTCCTTCCATTGACCGCGCGGATCCTGCGCGAATCTCTGGAAAGGAGGAAGTAGTTCCCATCGTGGCAACCGAACATCAGGCAATTGAATAGATCGGCGTGATTCAGTTCAAAATTGATCTCATGGTCTCTAGCCCACAGAAAAGCGTGCAGAAGTCCGTTATCAGACTGGATATATGTACACGCGAAGGAAACCAGATCGTGCCGATCGACCCAGAAGTTTCCAATGGGTTTGCCGACAACGGCGACTCTCCGTAGTCGATACTCCGAGCTTATTTCGAATATGGCTTTCTTCCCGAGCTCAGCGAGATAAATCCGACCATGATAGGAGCTCAGCAGAATTTTTCTCGATCCCGGCAGGTAGTAAGAGAAAACGTGCGCGATCAGTTGTCCTGATTCCAGGTCGTACACCTGGACTGCATACGAGTTGCATAGGGCGACGGAAACGTATACATCGTTGTTCCTCATTATGATCGAGCTGGCACGACAGAGGGCTTGCGCCAGGGGATCCCTGATCTTCCAGGTTTCTTCGAGCACTCGATTCGCGCGAAGAACACTCATGGTCTTTTTTTGCCAATTATACAGCATCATATCTTCGAGCGGGAGCGAACGCTCGGCGTTTCTCGATGATTTCATCGAAGTGTTCGTGGCGTTTTCTACCCGCAAAAATCCGTTGGGGACAATCGTATCGACTGTTGTGGATTCCACACCTGACAGCATCCCAATCGGTAGATCGACGAACGTTTTCAGGTCTCCAGACATGCTAGAAACCGGAAGTCTTGGCAAAGAGCTCGCTTCCCGCGAAGCACTCCTCTTCCGAGTCTTTTCGCATCTCCCCTCTCGATGCTTGGGCTTGAGTGCCCCGTCGGACTTCCTGGTCGGGTGGGATGCATCGATCCTCTCCATCCGATGTTTCTCAGAGAAACGATTCATTGCATCTGTATTCGAACCTCTGCCGATGGGGCCGCGTGTGATCTGTAAGCCACAGGTGGAGCACCCTTTGATTCCACTCAGGTGAAAGGCAATCCTTTCAATCGATATCGAAAGGAAAACACGCGAAGAGTATGTTCCCTCTCAAACGGAGGGGGTGCAGCGCGAGAAAGATTGCGACCACGTCGAGGAGAACTTCGGATAAGCGAGCGAGCGAGTTGAGAGTGGATCTCTGGTATCGAATCGCTGATTCGGGAGACGAGAACGAGCTGATTCCCGCTGTCTCATCATGTAGCTTACCCTAACGTCTTGATTCATCAGATGGTCTTCAAATTGCCCTCCCGATCCGAATTATGCCAGGTCCGCCTACGTACCGCAGTGTTTACATCGCGTTGAGAAGTTTCGGCGAAGGAGAGTCAAAACAGAAACGTGCAATGATCGAGCGGCCGGCGTGGGGTGCTGCTATGTCATTGAGAGGGACTCGCAGTAAGCAGGCATTAATGGTGGATTCCTCGTTGCTTCGGACTCTCGCATCGGACCTCAAGTTTCGTCTGAGACTGGAGCCCAACTCTCATAGATGCGAATTACCGACTAGGTAATTGATTATTATTAGCAGTATTGATCTCTGTGCTGAGCGAGGCGTTCATTCTGCATGGGGAAAAAAATACGGGTGATGCATTTATCCTTTTGGGTAGACTGAGTCATTTCCAGCGAATGGGACAAAATCTAGCTTGCAGTCGGCGCTCGCATGAGCAGCAACATTTATCAGGTCGCTTCGACCTGGAAATTCGACGGAAAAATGAAAAGCATCACCTCCATGTAGCTCTTTTATTTCGATCGGCAGTACCGAGTATGAATTGAGCAACTTTTCACGGAGGAGTCTCGGGATGCTTCCCACTCCACTTCGAGCTCCTCTTGTACCGATCGCGTCGATCCACGCGATTCGAGCAGACTATAATGTTTTGAAACGTTTTATCAGCCTACACGCTTCATCTACCTTATCCGCGGCTTTGCTACCCTCAATATTGGTAACAACATTAGCTTTTGGTCTATACACAATTATCTCGTCGCCGCTTAGAATATATATCAGCTCTCCGCAATATCCTGCGGAGTACGGAAAGCAAATTTTCTCGGGAAGTTCGAGGCCTACGCTCTCTATACAATCGATCTCGGAGCTCTTTGCGGTCACAGCTAGAATTTCGCGGAGATCTTTCGAAATCAAGTAATAACTCTCCTTATGATACCCGAATACTGAGCAATGCGAGAAACCGCTGTACCTGAGCCTACAGTTCAAATTGATACCTCCCGTACAGAAGAACGTGTATGGCCTGCCGGTCCGGGAGTGAGCATACGTGCACTGGAAAGACAGGTCATCGTCAAGGACGACCCAGAAATTCCCGATCGGTCGTTTGACCCTGGCCACTCCGCTTAATTGATAGGATCTATCGATTTCAAAAATTATCCGCCCCCCGAATTCCGCGACGTAAATTCGGTCCTTGTGATGGCTCAGAATTATTCTATTCGAGCCCGAGAGCAGATCGCTATTCAGCTTCCCGATCTCTCGGCCCGAGTCGAAATCGTATATTCGAACATCATACGAGTTCTCTAGAGCCACGGATGCAAAGACCTCATCATCCCTGATCAGGATCGAAGTTGCACGGCACAGGATCTGTGCCAAAGGTTCTTCGATGCGCCGTTGAGTCTCTGGGATTCTGCTCCCATTCAATACGCTCATGGTTTGCCTCTGCCAATTGTAGAGTATCATTTCTTCGCGTGGGTCTGAATTCTCGGTGTCGTCTTCTCCTCCGGAAGAGACCGTCGCGTCTTCAGTCGCCGGGCTCGAACTCGACGCCGTCGTGATTGTTGATTCGAAAGTCGTGTCTATCACTAGTTGATCAGACGCGATATCTCTCTCCGATGGTGGGCTCGAGTCTCTCGACGCGGACCGCTCACGACGGAAGCTTGTTCCGCTGCTCACGCTGACTTTCGGGGCCTTGTCGATGTCGTGGTCCTCAATCGGGATATCCTTGAGTTTCTCAGCGTCTGATGGACCTAGGTTCCCATTCAGGTCCATTCCGCTCGAGGTTTCGGCCATCTGGAAGCCAATCACACGATGATTCTCAGATGAAGAAAGTTTTTGCGGACGGGGATCGAATCAGAAGGATCGCAGACCCATCAGAAATGGTTCATTATCCCTTGTTTGAGGAGTTGTGATTTGTGATCCCTTTCGCACGACACAGACCTTGCGCACGTTCTGACGGTTTAGGATGTCTCACGATTCCCGACGATGCTAAGAAAATCGTTCTTGGGTTGATCTCGACCCTCAACCTGATGTCGAAGGTGCCGGAGTCACACTTTTCAGGTAAGTCCTCATACCAATATTCGAGTTTTTCCCAATCATTTCGCGCGCACGCGGAGGAAACGCTCCAATGTTTACATCTCGTTCCGTATTCGCGAGAGAAGGGTACACCGACCGGTGCGGACTCGGACGGTGCTGAGAGATGATGACTCACGATGGATCTGCATCGAACTATAGCTCTCGGATAACAGTAACACGATGATCGGGGACACTGCATGAACGACAGCGAACGTCGCAACGAGGTCGTTCGTGAACTTCCTCCGTCATCATGCTTACAACCATCATGTTCTTCGAGGCTCTCAGATATTTCAAACCGCGCGCTCTCTAGTCTCCCTCTCTCATTCTGACAGTAGGACAAGGAGCGCTGACGCTTCCCACGTCCGACCTCGAAAAATCGTCATCGCAGCTCTGTGGTCGATCAGAATCAGAGTAAACGATGTAATGACATCGGGGGAAACTTTAAGTCTAGAGTTAGCTCGGGTCGCATCGAAGAGAACCATTTGTTCAGATATTATTGCTTCCAAAGCTAACACTTTGAATGTTTTTGCCGATTTCATCCTCGTGTATCCATGAATTACAGCCATCAGCCGCTGACGTATGAACCTGGGCTGTTCGAGGCGCTACGGCGATTGCTGTGTACAACCAGCCGTCATATCGGAGATGCAACCCGTGTTTCTTGAAAAATTTGGGTCAGATGGATTCGGACGATCTTCGAGTTGAGAGGAAGCGCTCGCAATTATCGTGAATTGGTTAATGTTCTCTGGACCTCTCACAGAGTGTCGTCCGAACTCTAATGAGACCGTCCGGAACCATCCTATGAACAAGAATGGAAAACTTCGCTGTGGCGGATGTTCCGACGGGAGGCGGTGAAGAAAAACGGAAGTCGGCGAATCATCCCGAGTCGAACTGTGCGAAGGATCGCGATTTTATTGAGTTTCTACGATTCCGAGGCTCCACGGTATGCTTGGCGAGGAGTGAGTTCCTGTTTGTGGTCCGTGGCGATAACTCCGGCGTAGTGTGCCACAGTCTCTTCAAGTGACTGACCGATAGAATCGATATTGCATAGGAGCAGAGATGAGGTGCTACAGGTACAAGCGGCGCAAATCGATCCTGACATTTCGAAAAGGAACGGTGATGACGATCGAGGAGTGGATGGTGTTCAGGCTTGTATCATGCGATGGCGGGCTCCTGAAGCGATAAAATAGTCTTGAGAGATCTAAATGCCAAGCTCTGCAAGCGGTCGGAACGCTCACGGCTTTCCGCGGCATCTTGAAGCGGAGCGCCCCATTTGTGCGCGACCGTTTGGGAGCGACCGTTTAGGCGCGGCTCTTTGGGCGCGAGCCATTTGGGCGCAGAGCCGTTTAGGCGCGAGCCATTTGGGCGCAGAGCCGTTTGGGCGCGAGCCATTTGGGCGCAGAGCCGTTTGGGCGCGAGCCATTTGGGCGCAGAGCCGTTTGGGCGCGAGCCATTTGGGCGCAGAGCCGTTTGGGCGCGAGCCATTTGGGCGCAGAGCCGTTTGGGCGCGAGCCATTTGGGCGCAGAATTGTTTGCTCGCGGAAGTCTTGGTTGTCCGGTGAACGGCTTACGGTTTATCACCGATTGTCGTCCCAATCGCTCGGTTCCAGTGGAACGACAATCTGGATTACGACCAGACGGAAACGCCGAAAATACTTCCCCGTAGGCTTCCGAGAGCGAATCATGAGTTCTGAGTGGATCCATCTGCGTATGAAGATTATCATGCTCTTGGCGAAGAAAAAATGCGCTCGATACGAACACGGACGGCATCGGAGGTGCAACCTATTCTTTAACCTAGGTCTTTGAATTCTCCGCTCATACCATACTATTCGGGATGAGCGAGTCTTAGGCTTATCTATACGTATTGACGTTTGGACGCGCGAGGCCCAGACGTGTCCCGTTACTCTGACTCCGGCGATTCAGGGGCAGTCTGCGGTCCGCCGTTCGATGCCTGCATCCTGAAATTCCGTGCCAGCCCACGCAAGTAGTCCACCGTGGTCCTCTGACCGAATTCTCTCACAATTTTGAGAATTCGCTCATCGGCGGAGACGTACCAAATGGGTCGCGCCCAAACAGCCGCGCCTGAACGGTCGCGCCCAAACAGTCGCGCCCAAATGGGGCGCTCCGTATGCTAGATAGGTGCTAGATAGATGCTAGAGGTCACAATCCAGAACCGAAGCGCAGTAAGTTCAGTCAAACGGCTCGCGCCCAAACGGCCCGCGCCCAAACGGCCCGCGCCCAAACGGCTCGCGCCCAAACGGCTCGGCGCCCAAACGGCCCTGCGCCCAAATGGCCCGCGCCCAAACAGCCGCGCCCAAACGGTCGCGCCCAAACGGCTGCGCCCGAATGGGGTGCACCGATCTTGAAGACCAATCTCCAGCGCCTCGCGATCATTTCTGCGGAGTGATCTCTTATCGACGGACTCCTTCAACGCATTCAGAGGACGGAATCGAAATGAAAAGTTCTCCCTCTAAGCGCCCACGAAGAGCTTCTCGAGATTCGATCCTCAGTCGTGAAGTCTCCGAGAGCTCAGCTCAGGGCCGAAAGTCTGTCGAGCATTGACGACTCCCCACAACCCGCCTGATACCCAGGTAAATGAGCACTGAGACTCGAGCGAGAAGATATCGCTGCAGCAAACTTCCGAAAACGAGTAGAATGCGCTCCCTGAGGCTCGTTGCCCTTATGCGCAAGGCCCAGCGGGCGGGAGCCTGGGTGCCGCGGTCCCATACGCCGATGAAGTTTCAGATTTTCAGCACCAAGCGGCATTGAGTCGGGTTCAAGGGACTAATATGCATACGTGCGGATGATCCATCCTGTGACATATCTTCCGCTTGAGCGAATCTCCGTCCGGATCCCTGAGGAAGAGACAGATATACATAGATCATGATGACAGAATTTCCATGGAGCGGACGAAAGAACTGTTTCGCAAACTAAGTATACGCGATTTGTGAAGGTAGATAAGCGAAAACAATCATACAATGATACAGTGTTTCCGAGACGAAGACCAGCACATGAGACATGACTCATGTAACATGAGCCTTGCCTTGGCTAGAATACTCGATCGAGCCGCTCGGAGAATGAGTGTCGGCGACTTAAGAGGTGCCAAGGATGCTGGATACTGGCCTTCGCCGGAAACTCCGCGAGGAGTTTCACGTCGAGGGAGACAACTAACGCAGCAAGACAGCCCCTGCGGGTACGAACCTTCAATGAGTATCATCATCCAAGCCATGAGCGAGCCCCGTCGCGCGTCGTCAACGTCGACCGCATCGTTCCTTCCTTCGATGCGCACTACCTCCCATTTCGAAGTGCCAAGTCTGAGGAGATCGACTACTGCTGCGATGTCCTGCCCGTGAGGTTGTGATGTGATGATCCGAAGTCCAGGATACATTAAATGCATCGTATACTCGACTATGCGTCTTCACGTTGTCGGTCGATTGGGAATGTCCATGAGAATTCAATGCTCTCTAGGTCTTTTCCGGGGCCAAAGAGTCAGAACCTGCCTGGGATGCTTCATTCCTGGCAGAACCCGCTCTATGCGATCGGTCCATCCTTCCGAGTCGTGGTCTTTCCGCAGATTCAGGTGAAACTCCCCCGTGGCATCGACGTCTTGTCCATGATAAATTCCCCTCCCCTCTCCTCTTGCATCTAGCTCTGAACGTCTGCGGTGTCATAACTGCATCCAGGTCATACAAGGATTGCACCATTTTCTGTCTCGAATCTGAAGTCAAGAGGAGGTCCCGTGCTGGATTTTTCCCTCCACGATGCATGGCCATCTTCCCTCGCGGTCGTCGGACCTAACTCGCACTGACTTGCTCCGCTTGGAATTGAGGCGAAATTTTCCGAAGGGAAAAAGGAGCCCCAGGCCATCGTGCACATCGTCGATGCAAATGTTGAAGAGATTGAGGATGACGGCTCGGATACGCTCCCTGACTCGAAGATCGACAAGCTCGAACGGGCCTGACCTCGACACACGAAGCACGGGTTCTATCGTCGTCTTGGAAATTTGAATTCGGTTACATCAGTTTATATATAATTCTGCTCCCCTCAGAGACCGCGCGAGCGACTTCCTCTCGGGATGAGGCGCCTCGGACGTCGAACGGACTCGAGATATCCATGCCCTCGAGATTCGGAGTTGACTGCCGCTCGCTTTCATGGGACTTCAAAGGATATTCCGATCTCGAGGCCGTAGAGTGATTTTAACTGGTGATTCCTACTCGGAACTCTTTCCCCGGGAGCGAAACGACAGGGGCGATCGATACCCGGAGCGGCTCAGACGGCATTCCGTCAGAACGCCGCGAGCGCACCGAAAAAAAAGCGGCGTCGCGTCGTTACCGTTTATTTGTTCGTCTCTCAACTCCCCGTCCATATCGATCGCACCCACATTTCTTCAGCTCGAAACCACTTCGCGGTCGAGCGACACAGGGGGAACCGTCGCCGACGCACGATTCTGTGACAAACGCACGCATGGAGGAACGCACAGCCGCCAAGTCCACGGATATTCCGTGCCGTGAGTCAACGAGTTCCAGTCAATATCTGTTCCGAGTTGACAATGACGCGGGCCGCGTCGCTCGCCGGCACGCCTGACAGAACGCAAAGCATTGAACGTTGGAAGCGACTCATTATGCTGCTCGCAATTATCCGCTGCTTTCAGTGCAGGCGTGACAGCGTGCGTCTGACAGATTTTCGTGTGTTCAGATGCTCGGCTGCAGGACGAGTGACGTGCCTACGTGCGCGAGAATCACTCGTCTCGTTGCACGCCAGCCGGATCGAATGCGTTTTTCCTTCCCATTCCGCGCCATTCCATCCATACGTTTCTTGATTCGCTCACATTCGGGCTCTTGCCGCTCCAGCCGCTGCTCAACTTCGAACCGCTGCAGGATCCTCAGCACCTGCTGGCAATTTCTGTGTCTATACGTCATCCCATCATTTGCATATGCTGGACCCGGGACCAAGTTGGAGGTTATTCGCCGTCTTGAAGTCAGCAGAGAGGTCCACGCTAGTATGCACGCCCGAACGAACTTTGAGCCACGTCAGGAAGGGAATATTCTCGAGGGGAACTCTCAACCATCGATGATTTTGCGTGCTGGAATGTGTCGGCTCGAGGATTCAGTTTCAATATTCGGTGTGCGGCGCGGGATTCGAGGATGTGGGCCATCGTTCCTTCGAAGAGTAGCGACTGCATATGTCCGCTTTCGCCTTCTGTTCTCGAGTCCCGGCCCCCGACGGGATGGCGGACCTTGGCCTAAGACCTGA